GTTACAACCAAGAAGGGAAGAAGGGAAGCCAAGAAGGGAAGCCAAGAAAGGCTCCATAGAGAACCTGATGGCTGACCTGAGCCTTATGATACGAATAGGTACTTGCCAGGCAAAACAGTACCAGGATGACCCGGCAATCAAGGAGTGTGAAACGAGGCATAAAACAATACTATTCATTTATTCATTCAACAAATGTCTATCAAATGCCTCCTATGTGCTTGGCATAGTTTTAAGTACCGGGATACAGAAGTAAATATTATTGACAAGGTTTTTGTGATCACTGAGTTAGCATTTTAATAGAGGAGACTAGCCAGTAAACAAATATATAAAGCAAAGGGCTATGAAGAAAACACAGTGGATAAGATGGCTAGAGTGAGACTGGGGGGTAGTATGCCCGACTAGAGTGTAGAGAGTGAAAGATGTGAGCAGAGCTACCCCCAGTTTTCCATGCAGAGGACTTTCCCTAAACTCCCCTGGCCCCTTATTCCATCTTGTTTTCCCAAGGACGTGGAGTGAGCTACCTGGCTGGGGGTTAAAGCCAGAGTGTGGTCCATGCCTGCCCTTTGGTAATAATGTTACCTCCCCTGGGCACAGCTAGCCTGCCACTGGGTACAGTAAGAATGGTGAGTTCAGGGGGTGGTAGAGGGGGTAGATTTTGGTGTCCTTCTCCTTCCTCTTCACACAGAGAGTGAGTCATATGAGGACTTGAACTTCCCTGCAGGTGGGCTGTTCCCAGGCCCGGACTGGGGAATAGAGTGGTGGAAGCCCATTTTTGGTTCTCAACCCAAGATGTAATTTCTATTTAAGTTAACTGTTACCAGTCAAAAGCTGCCTTTTGGCCTCCATCTTCCTTATTACACTTGTCTGACGTCTCAGTTGGCTTAGAACTTGGGAAGGGAGAAGACCTCTTAAGACAAAAGTTTTTATACAATAAAAGCATTCCCTTTCCCAATAGACACATCAAAACTAAATTAGGAAGCACTATCCTAATCTATCAAACCTGTCACCTTATTAAAAAATCCTTCAAATCTCCTACTTCATAGCTCTAAAGACACTTCAAGGTGTGTGACAGAAAAGTCTGGCCCAAATAGTACAATAAGGCACATTCAATAGAGTAGTGAACATGGGGGTGGGGTGGGAAAAAGAATGATTTCAGTGCCAGTGTAAAATGAGGCTACACGGTTCCTGGCTGGTAGCCACAGAGAGGAAGATGAGGAAATGTGAAGTCTTTAGATATTCTTACTTGGTGATTTCATATCTACATGTTTTTTTAAAAACCACACTAGAAAAAAGAATGTTCTTATCTTTTCTCTGAAGAATGTAAGAGCATTTTCAATGTATTTACATACTTACTTCACAACCTCCTTGTGAGACGAGATGGGACTATATCATTGTCATGAAGACATATGGATGGCACGGTTTCTATCCACAGCAGGGGTGGGGAACGTCCGGCCCGCGGGCCACATGTGGCCTGAGAAATCATTTGGCCCAGCCCTGCCAGGGCATTAGAGGTGAGTTAATTAAAGGTTTGAGCAAAAATAGCAGGCTGGGCTGCTTTTTAAGTTGATAATTTTATATGGCCAGCAAATTATGTTATAAATATCCAAATGGCCCTTGGCAGAAAAAAGTTCCCCACCCCTGATCTACAGGGCTCAGTTCTGAGCAGTAGAGAATTTATTTTAAGATAAAGAAGAAGATAGATAGTTCACGAACCTTGAAGGCCTTACCCTCTACCTAGAAAGATTGCTCAGACTCCCAAAGCATGTGTATCAAAAAAGGAAATCTAAGACAAGTGTCAAGTAGATGGCAAAGGTTTTAAAAATGCTTCAGGAGTTCAGGGTGTGGGGGAAGGGGGAGCATCTATTGAAATTAAGATTACAACAGTTTCATGTGAGAAAAATATTCAAACCCCAACTACACACACTGCAGCAGCTGCAATTAGAAAGTGCACCTCAGGCCGAAGACCCCAGAGGCATGCAGTGTGTGCTGAGTTTCTCTGTGCAGCCCTGCGGTGCCCGGCACTGCCCTGTGCCCAGGTCAGTGGCCCTGCATCTGGATAGCATGTTGAATGGGTACTCAGTTTCCCTGGATTTCACTCTGCTCCCCGTCACTGCCCACATTCAGCCAGGAGCAGCAACCGCACTGGACAGGAAATGCTGAACCCCCTGTGCCCTGCACACAGAGCTGTCTGCCACAGGGATGATGCAAAGCAGACTCTCCACCTACTTTCACTCGCTAAGGCAGGGAGGTTCTGCCAGCTCTGTTGGCCCCTCAGGGGCCTGCAGAATTTTACTGCAGACATTGCCTTCTCCCACATCAAGTCCTGACTGGGCTGGGGAAAGGGGTCAAGTGTTAATGGCAGGGACAGAGAGTAGCAGTTACCAAGTCCAGATGCTCTGCGGGAGGGAAAAGCAGGCCAGGATCAGGGGAAATCGAAGGGGGCGTTGGGCTGTGCTCGTCCTGCCCAGGGTACATTGGCTGCCCCAGTCATTGCATTGCTTCTGGTTGCACAGACATGTTGCCATGGAACCAATACATGCCACTGCTACTTGGCCTCCAGCAAACAAAACCTCAGCGCTGGCAAGAGCACTTCCCTAGACTTCCCTTAAAGGGATACCATGGATGGTGAGCTCAGTCCACACTTGGGAACAACAGCAGTATTGTTCCGGGTCCTGCCCTGCTGCATCCCATGAGAGGGAGCCCAGCCACTCCTGTTCTACAAGGTGTGCATGCATGTGGCATGCGGATGTACATGGCCCAAACCCAAGGTGTGGGGGCCAGCCTCCGAGCTGCCTTTAAACTAAGAAAATTGTGGCCTCGGTTTATATTTAGTCCCCCCACTCCCACATCATACACAAATACAACTGGTAGAAGCAAAGAACTAATCATATTTTGGGTAACAATTTGATGCCTCCTGACTGTTAACTTCAAAGAACGTATGTCCCCAGCAGGAAAGCAAAGCAGCCAAAGTGGTCAGCATCACTTCAGGGGGCCTTATTTCACATCTTTACCGCCGCTTCCCCGAGACCCTCCTCTCCCGGTTTGTTCCGCACAGAAAGCCTATGACCAGGAGGCATGGACTCCACACTTGTCCACTTTCCCAAGGTCCTTAATTGTCCTCTACTTTAATCTTTGATCAACCTCTTGATTCCAGAGACCCTTCACTTCCCCAAAGAGCAGCAGATCTCCATGTCCCACGTCCCCCTGTGCTGTGCTCTAGGGATAAATCTTTGGGGCTTTTCTTGGATACGATGAGGAAATGGGAACCCTGACGTTCACACTTCTAATGAGTGCACATTCATGCGTATCAAGCATCTGGGGCAGGAAAGGCCGATATTAGGAGCATAGGCAGATGCTCCCTCAGTGAATCTGCAATCCCCATTTCACTCCCACCAGGACATTGGTAGGAAGCAGACTATTTCTGTACTCTATACAGAGACACTTCAAGTTCCTTAAAGATGACAGTGGTTGGGGCAGAAGAGAAGCCCCCATTTATTAAGGTAAAATGATTAAATTGACAAATGGGATAAAATAATGGACACAGGCTCTCTGTACTACACTTAAACCAATCCCTAGGTGAGGTGCAATGTTTGGGAAATAGGTGCATTAGTTCTCCAACCTAAGTGACCACAGTCCAGAGCCAGATGCGGCATGGGCATCCGCAGAAGAACCACAGGCAAGTCCCCCTTGTGGGCCTCCGGCGGAGGACTGTTTTCTCACCTTGCTCTCCAGCATGCCCACAGCTGAATTCTCATGTTAGAAACCTTATAGCTTTTACTTATTATCTTTTAATGAAGAAAGGTGACTCTGAAAGTCTCTCGGACTGCAGGCCAAGTTTACATTGTGCTATACGAAACCTGCTACGCATTATTCTGCAGGTGCAGACACCCCAGGGGGAGGGGTGTGTGTGTGTGCGCGCGCACACGCGCGCGTGCAGGTCTGCAGCTGGCCGGCACACACCTGCACAGCGGCTCCTGGCAGCAGCACAGATTTAGCCCGAGTCTCCGCACGGGAAGCCGCATTGCAAATGCAGTGGTTTGGGAAAGGCGCAAAGGAAAACACGCCCTCTCAGCTGAGGTCCCTCGCAGAAGTGCCCCGGTCTGCCCTGTCCACCCACTTCTCTTGGTAGCAGCCAAGAGTGACTTCTAGAAAGTTAAACAGCTAAACAGCATCACTCCTGACACTTGCCTTAGAGGGATGTTATCACTAGTTTATCGATATTACTGCAGGTCCAACAAGCTATAATCTGTGTCCACAAAGAAATTGGGATTCTAAAGACAGCTCTGTGTGTGTGTTGAGGGGCGGGGGAAAGGAAGGTGGGTGACTTGCAGGAGAGGGAGACATCACAGAGGGGAGTCCAATGCCTCAGTAGCCGTCTGTACCCAGATGAGCTCTAAGGTCCCATCCAGTGCTCTCTCTTTCAGGGGCGTTCATGAAACAGGGCATCACGTGAACACAACAGATAGTTTCTCCATGCCCACAGCCCATCTCTGTGATCAGTCACTGAAACAAGGACACTTCCTCTGCTGTCCGCTCGGCAGCTGAAGGAGGCTAGAGCAACCACGGTGCCAACTCCTAACCGGCAACCCATGTGGATAGCAAAAAGAAACAGCAGAAAAATACAAGAGGGAAACCTCCCTCTAGAGTAGGGGTGTCGAACTCAATCAGAGAAGGGGCCAAAATCTAAAACCCAGCCTAAATCGCGGGCCGAATGGTTTACTGAACAGTCATAAACTGTCATTGTGATGGAAACGCAGCAGAGTGCAGTGATGACAGCGCGGTGCGGGCCACATTGCAAGGCCTGGCGGGACGGATTTGGCCCGCGGGCCTTGTGTTTGACACATGTGCCTAGAGGGAGGAGGACATGGGATGAGTAGAAAGAACATTTTGGTTCCAAGCGGGGGAAACTTCTAGAGAATGCGTGCACGCATTTTTCTTAGCGCACTGGGTAACGGTCTGACGTGGGTGTAAATATGTGAAAGAGTCACAGGATCGCTCACCGTACGAAAACAGCAGGGTGGTTCCTCTGCCCCAGAAAACGAACTAACTTCTTTGGAAAACTGGAAGAGAAAAAGATTTAAACAACATTAAGTCCGTTCTGTAACTTACCACAGGTATGCAGGTGTAGAGAGTGTGGGCACTGACATGTGGGCACTGAGTAACAGTAAATCTGAAGAATAGTTGGGTGCATAATGGTGTGGCTGACTACCTGAATTTCAAAAAGAGCTTTGAACAATTAACGTGCAAAAAGCAATAGTGTGTGTGATTCTGTGATCATGAGAGAGATGAACCTTATGATGAGGGATCACATACTGTGGTGCCTGAGAAACAAGATTTGGGATAGATATTTTTAAATGTCATGTCTGATGGACGACCTCTCAATAAGTCACCAGAGGACCCCATGCCTGCACTTTGCCCTTTTCCAAAAGGCAGGCCCTCGACTCCACACATCCCCCACTGAAGTCAATGGGACCCGTAATTGGGCTCAAATGGGAATGTGGACTTGTCAGAGGGCACTAGTAGCTACATATCAAGCCAACTATATAATCCCATGGCTGCCACATGTTTGAGATAAAGTGTGGGAAAGCCGAGATGAAGTGCACGATGGGAGAGGAAGCCTGAAAGACAAAGGGAGATAAGGGAGTGACAGCAGCAGACTGTGTAATCTACATCCCTTAAGGAACGACACTCAAGATCCAAGTTTTAAAACCTTTCCAGAGACTGTTTTAAAGATGCCTTTTCAGGTTTAGGAGGGGACGCGAGGCAAAGCTAGTCTGGTTCCTGAGACTGGCAGGTTTTCACAGGATCCCAGAGCATCTGGGATTGAGAGCTACTAGTATATGAAGGCCACTGCTTTCCCCCCCTTTCCCAAAAGGAAGAGAGAGGCCTGGTCACTAGGGCAGGATGGAGACTCTGCCTCGTCCTCCTCAGCATGCTCACTGGCAGCAGATCCTGACTCAGCTCCTTGGAATCTGAAAGGCCTACCTCACCATCCCAGAGAGAAGTCTCGGGCCTTAAAGTCAGACTGCGCTAGGAGAGGCGGGGCTACTGAGAGGATGAGATTCACAGGCTCATGAGAAATTTATACTCTACTTGAAAACACAACACGGAAGCAAGATGAGCAGTAAATACGGTACATGCCGTTAAAATCTCTGAGCACTTTCTTTTTAAAGCCACAGTTTATAGTCCACTCACATACAGTAACCTTTTCATTCTAACAGCAGACAAGATGTCTACAGTGAGAATCATAAGGACTACAAGATTGATTTCAGAGTCAGACCTGACTCTGAATCGCAGCTCGGTTACATAGCAGCTGTGTGATTCTATCGATAGTTCCGTAAACTCTCAGCCCCCTTCCCTCATTTGCATAATGGTAATACTAAAACCCATTTCATATAATACTTCAAGTTTCCAGTGTAGTGCTTGGCATGTAGGAGAGACTTAAAAAGAAAAAGCTTTAATACCAGGTGGCATGGCATGTCTACATATCTAAAATACTAGAGAAGGAAGACACAGGAGAGATTTTTATAACTCATAATGTGTCAAATGTCAGTCCTTGTATTCTCTTTTTTCCCCACCCACCCCCACATTAGTTAAGACAAATGAAAACAAAGTAAAACTGTTTACTGTGAACAATTAGATCATATAGATAAGGGGGAAACACCCAAATAATAGAAATCAGCAAAAGTCTCACTAATGATTACTATGACCATTTTGGTTTATATGGTTCCAGGCTCTCTCCTAAGCTCAAGCATACACAGTATATTAGACATGTACTTAAGTAAAATTTTACACATATGTACAATTCATTCATAATATACTATGATAGTACTCATATTGTTTTACAATGTGAAAACATTTTATTTGGTGTAGTATAAATCTCTTAATTTTAATACATCCATCTCCATCATAACTTTTTAAGGACTTACAAGAAGATAACACTGAAAAAGTAACCATTAAATGTGTATTTGTTGAATTTACAGAATCTATCAGTGTCCCACATTTATGAGGAATTACTATACATGAGCTATTGTGTGGTTCTTCCCCCCCCCCCCCCATATTTTCATCAAGATCATGAAAGGCATATTGTATAAATGTAAGAGATAACAACAAAGATTGTTTTGGTTTAAATGGAAGTAGCTTAGAAGAATACTAACTAGCACAGGGAATAATATTACAAATAACAATTCAGTGACTTTCCAATATGTTGAAAGGGGATAAAATCTTAAAGATGAGGGCCAACAATGAATAGAAATGCCTATTTCATGTATAAAATCCTAAGAATGAAGTGAAACAAGTGTCCCTGTTTTCAGTCTGATCATGACACAGAGAAAGTTAAACTGAAAACTACAAATTCTTGAGTGACTCTAAAAATCATAATCATATTACATGAACTTCAAAACCTAAAAAAAACCACACACACACACACACACACACACACATAAGAATTTACCATATTTAGAAGATACTAAGATTTGGAATGTTTCTGTAATTTCAATATTTCTCATCCAATTTCCTTCTCAGAGAATGGTTGGTGTGGTGAACATATGTGATGCAGTTTGCTTAAACTGCATGACACATCTTGTCCTCGATTGAGAAAACTGTGCTCTATCTACAAATGTGACCGGGAGGCTGGGGGAGTGAATGTATCCTCACAATCAGCAAAGAGTGCGAGCTAATCCCTCCTCCAGTTATGACTGTAACTAACCCTTTGTAAGTACTGCCAACACTGCTCCTTCAAGCAGGCAGGCAGGAGGCGGGGGGTGGGCAGGATGCAGGAGAGAAAGATGGGACACACTGTGGCAGTAGAGAAATGCCAAATCAGACACCAGCAGGAAAATCCTGGAGTGGTCAAAAGTGGAGAGAGCCTGGCCAGTGTGGCTCAGTTGGTTGGGCATCATCTATCTTGTGCACTCCATCTTATGCTATCATGTCAATGATTCTCTCTCCCTCCCTTCCTCTGTCTCTAAAAATCAATAAGGTATTCTTTCTTTTAAAAATTTTTTTATTGATTTCAGAGAGGAAGGGAGAGGAGAGAAATATAAACATCAATGATGAGAGGAAATCTCCTGCACGCCCCCTACAGGGGATCAAGCCCACAACCCATGTATGTGTCCTTGACTGGAATCAAACCCTGGACCCTTCAGTCTACAGGACAACACTCTATCCACTGAGGTAAACCAGCCAAGGCTCAATAAAGTATTATTTTTAAAAAAAAAACGGAGAAAAAAAGTGGAGACATATAGAGTTTGATTTCTGAAACCAAAATCTACAATGAAAGGAGCGGTGAGATACCTATTTACATGCTACCTCCCAACACAAGTTCCCTAAAAGTTCATCCCCTGACAGTTTATGCAGTTTTTAGGGAGTGATAATTTTTGGTGAGGTTCATGATCTTTGACTTCTGTTCTATTTGACCATGTGAAATAGAATCAACATTGGTAGATAAGAACACAGACCTTACATTTTAGCATGGGTTGAAATCACAAAAGGCATTTCTTGGACAATTCATAGTAGGGGTTTCACTTCACATGGCATATGGACTGAGCTACTCTTAATAAACCTTTTCTGAAGGTACAATTCAGGAGTCAATAAGATGTCCCTTGATCTCACAATGCATTTCTAATAGGGACAGAGTGTTTGCTTTGACTAACTCTCTTTGGGTTGACGCTTTCTCCACGGTGGTATGTGCCCTATAACATCTCTGTTACACAGTCAAAGCAAAAAGATGCTCATTCTTCAACTTTCTCTCAGAGGAACTTTCATACTCTTTGATGGTATGCATGGGATGGCCCGGAACACATTCTGCATAGCAGACCTAGCCATCGAAACTGGGGTTCTGATCCTAACATCCTCACCAATTGTGCATCTCTGGTTAATATGACCTAGCCAGGAAAGCTGTGCTGACACCATATATTCCACACTTACAGTATGATTTTGAACTACAGACTTTGGAAAATTTTGTCTTGCCATTGTATAGTCTCATCCCGAGTAAGCACAGAATTCCTTAATATAATGACTACCATTTACTGAGTGGTCATTTTGTGCCAATTTTTTATCTACTATCTCTAATCCTCATAAAATCTCTGTAAAATAGGTTGCATTAGCCCCATTGTACAGGTGACGAAAACAAGGCTCAAGACAAGTAACCTAACCAAGGTCATATGCCTGACAAGATAAAAGCAAGAATTCAAAGCCAGGTCTATCTGGGTTTCATGGCCAAAAAGAAAATAGAGAAACATCAAGATCATATGCAATTTTTATATGAAGGCCACAATTTGCAGGCTTCTGTGAAACACAAAAAATAAACACTTGCTTTTTCTCAATAATCAGATATTACTTTTGCAGGTTTGGTTGTTTTTGTTGTTTGTTTGTTTGTTTGTTTTTTGTATGGCAAGCAAGGACGCTGGAAACAAAGTTATCCATGAAATTTGGTGGTAAGTTGTGTGTGGCAGACCTAGCCATTGAAACTGGGGTTCTGATCCAACAGGTGCTAGACAGGCATTCTTCAGGCAGAACAGCAGGGCCAAAGTGCTGACAGTTGCAGCAACACAAAATGTAGCCTTGGCAAGTCGGTCTAACAATTACTTTGCATCATTCTGATTATGAGCCACAAGCATGCAATCAACAGCATAGAGACGAACTTAAATGATCTCCATCAGCATTTTACTTCAGTTATCAACGCTTGGCAGATGGAACGCATTCTCATCTGACCTAAACGCAATGCTAATGACCCGAACACAGAGAACGTGCAGGAACAAGAGCAGCACAGAGAATGGCCGGTGCTGGGGGGCACTGGTTATAAGAGATGCACTGTAGTTCATCAACTTTTCCATTTATTACCTCAGTTCATGTGTTTCTCATCTGATAAATTCATCCGTAGTCTAACTCAATGGAAAGATTAAGTAAGTTTACAGTTCCCCAGACTTAATACTGCATGTTGTGCAATTCTCTACAAGGAACAATTTTCATGTTTCATTACACATTTTTTTGTGGGTTGCATCTCCCCCACTAAATTGTGGCCCAGCTCCAACAGCATAAAAATTTTATCATTTATCTC